CCGGTCCTACGCCGATGTCCCTTCATAAATCACAATCAACTCGAAATGCGGCACAGCTTTTGCGGGCTTCACGTAACGCCCATATTTGCCTATAAATAGTCAAAGAAACGCCCCGTATTAATATTCATTTTGACCAGTGTTGTGCTAGTTACTGAAAACCAGTAACTAGTTACCATTACTAGTTACTTCATGTCAAAAGTAACTCAGTTACTTTACTAGTTACTTACACCCAAAAGTAATGCGTTACTGTGAAAAGTAACATTTTAGTTAGTTGAAAAAAGGGCTCCCATTAATGCCCTTATAGCCTTCATTTCAGTACTGTTATTGCATTGGAGAATAATACAATCTGTTGATCAACTTGACATGCATTATATGCAATCTGGATTGCATCGATATTAGCTGGCTTTCCATTTTTGTATATTCTTTCTCCAGGTAGTTGGAAAAAGTTTTCCGTCCCATATGCCGTGTGCCGCCCGGACATGGTATCATGCTAACTAGCTCTCTGAAAGCGGGTGACTCCACTGTAGCAATAACCTGCATGTGTTCTACAACATACCGTGCAATGACTTTATCGACTTTTTCCTGGCTAGCAGTCCCTTGGTTAAAATCCAGCCGCTGTTGCTTAGGGGGAGGTGGAGTGGCGTCGGCTGAGTCTCTGTGGTCTTAGCTATTAGCTTCGTCCCAGCATGTTGTTTTTGCAGGTGTTTTAAGAGATTTGAATGACTGTTTTGGGCAGTAGATAGGATCTTTGACCCGCCAAGACACAACTTACATTTAACTAAAACGTTATTTTCTTTGTGCTCGACAAAAATGAAATAGTGAGAATATCTCCAGGTGGAGAAACTAGACTTGAGCTCCGCCGCCGCCATGATAGTCTTGTTAGTATACAACACAAACACGCCCACAGCGCGTCTCCGCATGTGACACAGGAAGTATCAAAGTACATTTACTCAAGTACTTAAGTACAGTTCTCATCTCTGTTCGCCTGGCTGTTGACTATATAAAAAAACTAACGGAGTAACGGAGTAACGCACCATGTAGTAACGGTAACTGAGTTACTGAATTTACAAAGTAATGCGTTAGAGTATTAGTTACTGCCAAAAATAACGGCGTTAGTCCCAACACTGATTTTGACTGACTGCATGAGGAGATCGCAGGAAATGACGACAGAACAGCTAAAAAAAGATTTCACACCGTGTCAGATTTTGGTTATTTTGGGGAGGTGGAGACAAATCACATTGTTTGGTGGATGCAGTTTGAACCAGAGTAGCAGCAGCATGGAGGTTCGAAAAACGTTAATGACAAAATAAATACACATAGCCTTCCTCAGGCAGTGTGTTTGTACCGGGGACAGGAGACACCCCCTTGATGAGAGACTGTAAGAAATGATCAGGGAATCCCTCCGGAGTGGAGTCATGACGACTGGATCTGAATTATGTTTTTGTATTTGGTGGTTTGTGTTCCAGCTGTCGATCAGCTGTGCGCAGCATCTCCACTGCAGCCTGTGCATCTCAATTTGTTTATGTTTTTATATCATTATAACTGTTGTGGAAATATTTTCCAAGGCCCATAACTTTGACCCAGTTTATCAGTTCAAACTGTCCTGACTGAGCACACGCACCTCGTAACCTTGGCTGCTGTGCTCTCAGTGTTCTGTCTCCCTGCTCCTGCCTGTTGGCGTCAGCTGATAGAGGTGTTATGATTCTATGTTCCTGCCTGTTGGCGTCAGCTGATAGAGGTGTTATGATTTAATCTTGTTATGATGCTCTCAGAACTAGTTAAATACATGGGTCTGAGGTAGAGTTCTTTAGAATTGACGTGACAACCCACCTGTGCAGTCTCACCGTGACTGCTGTGAATTGTGATGTGAATGCTCCGGCCGAAACTCCAATAAATCATCAGTGTTTTGACATCAAAGCTCCTGCTCTTCCCGTGTCTCCTTCCTGAGTCGGTGACTCCCACTGCGTTGCTACACAGAAGTTTCCCTTACAATAACTTTCTCAACTTCCGAAACTGGATATTACTCACACATCCAGGACTAAAGTGAACAGATTGTGGCCATTTGATCAGAATCAATCATATACAGTATTTTCCATTGTGTTTTGAGCTTTTGCAGCATTTGGTTTTATGCAGTAAACGTTGTGCATGCTTCGTGAAGTTGGTGACTGTTTTCTAAATGCTGAGCATGGGTTGTCAAGTTTTTGTTTTGGCACATTTGTGACAGGGTTACAATCAGTACTCAAGTTGTAAAAAAAAATCAGGGAGGATGGTGGATTTTATCATATGGGGACATAATTTGTGCTGATAACCCGCAGAGGGTGGGAGACCAACCAGCATAAAGATCATTATTATACATACTCCTAAAACAACATGCATGTTATGGATGTTCAGATACTCCTTTCATTGCTCTTGACCAAGGCACCTCAGAATTAGAGTCGGTCCCCCGGCTGCCATGGCACCACTAACATTTAGGGTCAAATGCAGAGGACAATTAGTGCAACATCTTTTTTTCACTTTAATTTAAAGGGGGGGAGGGGATACAAAAATGTGGTTATAATGGAAGTCTATGGTACAAATCTTGTAGGTTAACAGTCCCTCATTTATTATTCAGATGGATCAACTGATTATACTAATAATAAAGTCAAAATAGTTTTTAGAATATTTAATTATTGTGTATTTTTTCAAAAAAGCAGTTACTGGTATACGATCAAAACTGGTATCTAAAGGGTTACATTTATCGTTATTCATTAAATCATTATGTAAATTAAACACTTCAGGAAAACATTTAGGAAACAAATTAGAAAAATATTGATCCGTCATCATTTTATTGCAGTTCAAATACAAATATTTTATGTTAACATTCCCAATGTTACTTTTTTTAACAGGGCATTAAGTGCAAATTGAAATTGTTTACAAAATATGAAAATATATTAAAAGATTATACAGATAATACAAAATAGGACCAATGTTGTCAATGGCTGCCTACTCCACTCTCCCCCATCTCATAGAAGTTTCCAAAGATTTTCATAATCATGTTTTTTGGTCTCAATTTTTCTGGCTCTTGCTTTCGGATTGTTAGCTAAGCAATGGCTTTGAAGCCAAGTCTTGACATATACTGTACCTCTGGTCTGAACTTGTTCAGTGGAGGGCTAACACACTTGATGAAAAGCAAGGCTGACGTGCTTTTTACCTCTAGGGAGCTTCTAGTTGTGGTTCAAATGTTCATCTGACTAAACCCACGTTCACACTCAGCTGTGGAGATGACCAGAGTGTTCACTGCTTGAAGGAGGGGTTTCAGCTCTTCTGGTGCTGGTGGTATCATTTCATCAACAGTTTTGAGTCTTACCAGCTAGCTAACACGAGAGAAAAACGTATAACTCCAAACTAAGTTGTTATTGCTGCTTATGTCCATAGATTCTACCTTTGGTGAGTAATGAGTAATGACTAAGATTACTGACTCTTGACTTAACCCTAACCCTGAAATATTATTTTTAGTATTTTTAAATATGAAGTCCCTCAGATCGCGTTGTCCTCCTGGTTGCTTGGCCATTGTGATGACCGTCACCTGCGCTTCTGGCATCGATCAAACAGGCGCATCACGGCGCTCTGGCGCCCTCTAGGGCACTCGCATAGCATAGCGCCAGTGACTTGGTAAAAATGTCATTGCGTGTGTGGGTGCTCCCTCGCCCACAGTATTTTACTCAAAATGCGCAAAATTAATGTTGAAATAGCAGTAATACCAGTGCCACGTTCATTGATACAATTACATAAGGGATGGAAAGGGGGAATGGACGTTTTAGAAGGGGGATGATTTTGACCGTTTTCATCCCCCCTCAACTTGAGTACTGGTTACAATCCAAAATATCATTGTATATTTTTTAACAATGACAATAAAGGCTTTCAATCAATTCAATCAATTATATTTCCATCGTTTCTGAAGCTGTAGCAAGTTTCTCCAAATGGAAATGTTTTTGACTTCTATTGTTTTGTAGCAAATTTGGACCTAACGGCCACCATACATGTAGTTATCTGACTATTAGAACAAATACCAGGTCAGTTGCCAGCCATTCATTCAATTCCTGTACACCCAGTAACAAATTAGAGCCTCAGAGCAACCCTCCCGTTCTGAAAAAATAAAAACGTACGATAATAAACCTAAGTACTAAGTAATAATTCCAATCTCCCATGTACAGCTTATTGACTTTGTTTTAAATACTGATAGATGTATTTAGAACAAAGATTCAGATTATTTCTTCTAAATTAGCAAATATGATAATTCACATTACATGAATCACTCCTCCAGTGTCATCTTACAACAACACCCACAGAAGGGTACAGGTTGAGAAGTAATGCAATGAAGCATTGATGCTGATTAATTCATTATTACTTATATTTGGAAGCTGCAGCCTGGAGCTTCTGGAGACGCCCAGGAGCTCACCACTCTCACACCCTCACACACAACATGAGGGGGATCATGACTACTGTACCCACACAGTGAGCTGTTCTGGATGGACAGCGCTGGAAGAGATCAAATACCCTTCAATATTGTCCGTGATGAGCCATATTATGAAGTGTACGGAACTAGAGGGAGAATTACTTCATAGTATGCACAAAAGTACCCACTCAGCACTATGATAGCTCTAGGGAGAGAACATGTAGATTCACCAGCTCTGGTTAAAAATAGAATTTCTGTCATGACCGTGCAGTGTGAGAAAAGAGAGAAAATGTGTGTTTTTTTGCCTTTGTTCCAACACTTAACCTCAAACAGATCTTAGATTACAAAAATAAGAGGTTCATCACAGGGTCTTCTAAGATCCCAAGGGCATATTAGAGCTTCTTGCATGAAGAACAAATCCCTGATTTATTACATATGATAGTTTATCTCCATCCCCTTGAGATTCCTCAAATGTCTTCATCTTTTCACACTTACGATTATATATCTGTCATTTCAGTAATATCTCTGCCATGCACTTCTCCTTGATTAAAAAAAGAAATCCTACCTGAAGCGGAGGTTTTGGAAAAATCAGAGTCAAGTTTCAGAGCGCAATCCAAGCAGCCGGTAACAGAGCGTCTACAATCCCCAAAAGAACATTTACAGATTGATCGCACCGCTTTACATCATTTTGTTAAACACAAACATGTTTGAAGTTCAGGAAAGCAAATTAACCCCCTCGTAGTGTGATCCGCTCAGCTCCAAGATAAATCAGAAGATGTTAGTGGATCAGATATTTGACCAGGTTCTCCTTTGCTCTTATCATGATGGGCACGTCAATCAAAGCCCTCTGTCACTTTCCCTGTATTTCCTGTACTCTCACCGAGTCGCTTCCCAACGCTCTATTCCTCTTACCCTCTCATTGGGTGTAGACGCCGCTCTGTCTCCTCCTCTCCCTCTCTTTCATTCCATCTCTCTTTTTTCTTGTCTCTCCCTATTTCACATCCTCACATCTCCTGATTGATCTCTATATTCCTTCCAGGCTTTTCCCTTCTGCCATTAGCTCGCTGATCGCAGCTTGTTGCACAGACGCACCACGTCCTGTGCGCTCACTCTCTTTTCTCTCGCTTCCTCTCCTTCTCTATTTCTCTTTCTCACCAACCTCAGCCTCTCTCTTTTTCACACACTTCTACTTTCACACACTCTGGTGCTCCAGCAGCCAAACATATGCTACTCAGTTAGCACGCACATAACCTCAATACGGAAGGTGTTTTAAAGACTATGACTATTTGCTTTTCAGTTTTTACTGCTTCAACTGATCTTAATATTTTCACAATTTTCAAATCAAGGCTCTGGGAGGGTGCATGTAGTAACTAAAGCAATATCTGTGTTTTTTCTATTCTTCATGTTATCATATTTATCAAAGGTAAGAAATAATTGAAAAATGGCCATTTAAAAAAAACCTCAAAGTGACAAATTGGTAAACTATATTTATATTTAAATAACAATTAATATTGAAATGATTTCGTAGATACATTAAATTATCATTACAATTATAACTTTCGGAATGGTCAACTAAGGAATTATTACAGGGGCCCATTATGTAGAGGTCTTTTTTTTCTCATACAAAAAGAGGTGCTGCAGCACCTCTTTTCACCCTCTGTCTGAAACCAGAGCCCAGTCTGCTCTGGTGGTTGGTCAACTGCTTAGAGTGTGTTGAAAATGTCCTACCCTTTGCTCTACCGCACAATGTGTTGGAGCGTTAGTCAATAAAAGCGCAAGTGTTACATAATGATGTCATTATGTCACGGAAGTAAACAAAGGAGTCAAATGGAGGCGTTTCTGATGCAAAGACACCAAAACACACTACAGGAAAGTGAAAACCCCAAATACATAATATGGCCTCTCTAAACCCATAATGTCAGCACGAATACACTACCACTTTTCATTGTGGGATTATTTGTCGCAAAATTCGAGGAATCCATTGATTTAGATTTATTCCTTTTGTATAATGAAAAAGAAGAAACACATTTTAAATGGTAGCTGTTAGAAGCATCTCTCCATTAAAGCATGTAAACATGTTACAGTAGAGGCACACATTAGAATGATGAACCTGAAAATGAGCATAGTTTGTCCTCTTCACACAACAATGTTAACCAATGTTTTATCCAGTCAAAAATGATCCCGCCTTGTTTTGGCTAAGATACAGGCACGAAATGTTTTGAAGCAACAGGATGTGGATGTGACTTATGGCTCATTAAAAAGCTATTAGTGCAAAAGAGCATCAAAGCAAGGGCTGCTGGCTACGCAGCCTTTGGCCCATGACAAGGCAATCAGCCTTGACAACTAAGCTCATTGTGCTAATAACCATTATGATGCCGCTGTTATGAGACAAGGGAAAGCATGATTGAAAACTATATCAAGCATAAAGCAGATTTGAATGCTGCCAAATGCATAACTGATTCATGTTACAATTTTATGTTACATTTGATTTCACCTAATTTTAGAGTTATTTATAGAGTCAGGATAGAAGTGATACAAATACTAAAGACACACCTGCAATTAGCACCTCTTCATTATGAGACAAAGAAAAAGTTATTTTGCAAAGGCTGGGTGTTCAAATCTATTCAGAGCAGGGTGAAAAAGATTAATGAGGAAGAGGCCATGGGAGAACAGCCTGATTTTTTGAAGTCATTAATTTATTAGTCAAACTTAACTTCATTAAAATGACTCGATACTGTACATTCTCTGACAGGCCTTTATTGTACATGCTGGAATGTGTGTGTGTGTATCACAATAGTTTTCCCATAATGCTGCAATGATTTGGTTTGTCAGGGACCAAGCAGTAAGACAACAGGACACAGGAGTGGTTTAAATAAACTAGGGTTTTTATTCACCCAAAAATCCACAAAACATCATAATAACAAGGCCTAAAGAGGTCAACAGAAAATACCTCAAAGAAACATAACAGGTGTTAACTCAACAAAACTGACCTGCTACAATGAAAAAACCAAGGAACCTATATAGTGGCTTGGCCAAACCACGTTGAACCCAAGGGATAATTAATAGTCACATCATACACAAAGGACACTGACAACACCCAAATCCCCCCTTTGACATGGAAGCAGGTGGTTTGTCCCAATCTGTCCCAATTGGCTCCTTGCAGTATTTATGAGTCCTCAGCGCTCGGCCACACCCTTTGCTGAACCAGGAAGTAACCTCCCCCAATGGACATGGTAACATTTAGAGCAAATGTGTGGTGTTAATTGGCATGTTTTATTGTAGCTGCACTGGAGCAAAACTACTGAAGATGAGGATGCAGTGTAGTTGGTTTACCCTGTGTGGCTGTGGCCATCACATACATGCTGGAATGTGTGTGTGTATCACAATAGTTTTCCCATAATGCTGTTTGCAATGATCATTGCTTTTAAAGAATCACATTTGTGCTCCAGGCAACCAGAAATAACCTTAAATCAGACAATATCAGGTCAGGTCATTCCCACATTCCCATTCCCATTGGATCCACCCATCTCCAAACATCCCGATCCACCGGAATCATGCATCCACTGCATTACCGGTCCACCTCTTTTTGTCCATGGGCCATTCTAGCCATTGGCCTTCCTGCCACTCTTTTTCTATTAACCATGCATGATGGTATTTGCTAGCTACTTGTCAGTGGTTCAAGAAACTATGCCAGTGTCTTTATCTCCAGTTTTTTTGTATATCCTAAGTCGTTGGTAAAGTACATTCTCCATGTCATCCTAAAGGATCTTACGGTAGGCGACCAAGCACCCAACAAGTGTGCTGGCCGTAAAGGCACATTTTATAATGGCCATAGTGGTCAAATGGTGGTACTACAACTTCCACGTTCGTCCACGTCTGTAAATCGGTGTACATATTTTTTTAAGCTAAATAAAACGTTTTCCCCTTACCTTAAGCTTTAGGGTCTAAAAGTTGTAAAATACACTAAAAGCCGAATCCACACATTAAGAATCTTTACCGGAGCTTCTGCTGTTAACACCACTGACTGTTTTCCTCCTAAAACACATTAGAAAGATTCCATCTTTTCATGGACAAGAAAAAATGAACGTAAACATTAAGCGGACAATCAGTACTACCAACGTCCTTTCTGACAAACTCGGCAGGATGCATGTTTTTTTTTCACTTATTATGTCTCTCCAAGAGACATCGTAAAGAACAGAAATCATGACTACAGCCTCTGTATGAGAAGCTTTAAAATCCGTACAGTCATCTTACACACAAAACTGGTTGTTCCTGGGAGCGAAACCCTTTCATCCACCAGCTGCACTATCAGTGAACTGCAAAATGTTACATCCATTTACTTAGCATTTATAAAAAGGAAAGAAGCGGATGGTTATCTGCTACAGCGGATGGCAGAGCGGACAAATCATACATCCTGGAATTCATTTCATCCTCCGGAGCATTTCAAATGTAACAGATAACAGAATTGTCCTTTTATGTATTACTTTTGACACTTAAGACTCTTTCAAAACGTTGAAATCTGATACACACAATCCTGCGAGTGATATCAAAGTTTCATTTTTTGTCATTCTCTGCTGGTGGTAAGATTGTAGATGAGCTGTCTGAGATAAGAAACTGGATAACGCACTGAATAATATATGGCAAAGTGTAGGTGAGAGCATGAGAGGATGTGTGTGTGTTTAAAGCCAGATTCAGACACTGTGGGAAACACAGCTGACAGTCAGCTCATGGGAAGAAAGCGCACAAACATCTGAATTAACACCGGCATCCTGGAGGGCCTAAATGAGGACCCTGGAATCCCTGACACACACACACGCCTGATTTCCATGGTGACTTTCAGCCAATGTCACGCAGTGATGTAAGGGGTCGGCTCCCTCTAAGGGGCGGTGTTAGTATGTTAAACAGAGTCGTCATCACTGGATAAAAAAACAAATCCACTCCTCCCTCTTTCTTGTCTTGAGACCAAATTACTTTTGAGATATTTCTTTATCTTTTCATTTATTCAATGTATACAATTGAATTTCCTTTCCACAAATTCTTCTGATGCCGACAAACTAAGCCTATATCAGCAAAACTAGGGGCTGAATCTAATCAGCCCTAACTATAAGCTTTATCAAAAAGGAAGGTCTTAAGCGCACTCTTAAAAACGGATAGGGTGTCTGCCGCCCGAACACAAACTATTAAGAAGGTAAATCTGAGATTTCATTTAACTCCAGCTCTCGACACAGGTTCGGGAAAGCCCATGAGCTTCTCGTTGTAGAGTGAAAATGGAACGCACACGCTATTTGTTGTTTGTTTATATCACGCAGTCTGTTCTTCTTCTCTCGGTTATCACGCACTGTGTCTTCCGGTTGTTGCCTCTTTTGAATGACGAATACACACTACCGCTGCCTGCTGGTAAGGAGAGTTATTGCCACTCACGCATGCGCAGTTCGTACGTGCTTCTTGGCCGTCGGCTGAAGTCTTTGCGGTGTGTTCCAGTGCGACACATGGCCAAAACGCAGAGACGCGAGGCGACGCAACAGTCGGGGTCCGTCTGCGTCAGTTCTTTGGTGTCAGATTGGTGTGTCCGGGCCTTTAGAGTCACCTCAGCTAATTTGATGTCTCTTTGATGAACTTCATACGAACGAAACATATACAGACTCCACCCATCCCTGTTCAACACTGGATTGAGAACAAAAACCTCCTGCTCACATACAAAGCCCCAGTGGTTCTCAAATGGGGGTACGCGGACCCCTAGGGGTACGTTGAGTACTGCAGGGGGTACGTGACATTTATTTTATGTTAATGAAAAAAAATAAAAATACCAATTTCAGGAAAAGTAACGAAGTTTGAGCAGCGTGGGTTTTATATGAACAGAGTTACACATTTCAAAACGCGAAGTGTAATAACTGCAGTGGCCTTCCTGTCACTGAGAATAACAAAGATCCTCAGTGAGCACAAGCCCATGTTTCTCACTACATTGTAAGTACAACTTAATAAAAAGATCAGTTCAATGCAACTAATGTCGTCTTAGTGTTATTGCATGATGTTAAAATTGGTTTGCCATGAATTTAGTGAT